TATATATATATATATATATATATATATACATATATATATATATATATATACCTCACAAGCTAAAGTCATGTCTTAGAACTGGGTCTTCTGGGAAGATGATCTTATATACACAGCACTCAATATTTTGCCTATGGTTCCACTTCCTTTCTTTGAAGTAGAGAGACAAATTAAAGACAATGAGGCAATCTGCATTACAGCAGTTAGAAATTTTATTATGTCTCAGATTTTTTTGCAATCAGCTTATGCACAGACTACTGAACAATGTGTTCCACTACTTAGCAGTGTGATTGTTTGCAAAGCATTTGGTTTAGTTTTCATAGAAATAACTCTCTTTTCCCTCTAAGTAATCAATGTTAATAATATCAGTATAACTATGTACTTGGAATAATCAAGTTTTGGAGCATGGAGACTGACTGTTGATAGGCAGAGAACACTGTGTTCTATAACTGAGCTTTGTGTTCTATCACAAATGCTCTGGTGCCATGATTTCTTGTTTTTTATTTTTATTTTTTTTTCAATAACAAAAGCTAAGTCGGATGTGGGTGTCTCAATGCTTGCAATCCTACCCAACAGGCTGAGATCTGAGGATTGCGGTTGGAAGCCAGCCCAAGCTGGAAAGTCTGTGAGATGCTTAACCACTAGAAAGCTGAAGTGAAGCTGTGGCTCGAAGTGGTAGAGTGTTCGTCTTGAGCAGAAAAGCTCAGGGACAGCACCTAGGCCCTGAGTTCAAGCCCATGACTACCAATAATAACAAGAAAAAAAGTCAAATGCCGTGTATAGAACACTGCAAAAATAATAAGTGTGTAACTCAACACAGAGTTAAAAAAAGAACAAAACAAATACGCATTACTTCAAGTAGAGCAATATTGGTATTTTTTTGTAACTTGGAGCACACAAAGTCGTGGTTCTTTCCTACTTTTCCCTTCCAATTACCACTAAAACAACTTCTGATGTATTCATTTCTTCCCTTTGATAAAATTTCCCCCCTTGATTTTTAGTTTAATAAAAGAAAATGTTCCATTCAGAATGTTTTTAGACAGGAAACTCAAGGATGCAAATTAATCGGACAAGTTAGATAAACACAAACCAAGTTTTTCAGAGAATATTTTCAATCGCAGTGAGTCCAGGCAGATGCCTTGTTTCTTTACAAGAAACAAAATTTAAAAAATGCAAAATATGCAGCAAGTAAGCATTTTTTTTAAGCAGCAATGGATGTTTCCTAAAATCTTCAACCATAAAGCATGTAAGAAATTGGAGATGGCCCAACAACAAATCCTCAAAGAAACAATTGCCTGGTTAATAAGTGCACTAAAGACTTACAGAGAGACTTCTCTGAACAGGAAATAAGAA